TAAATAAATAAATAAATAAATAAATAAATAAATAAATAAATAAATAAATAAATAAATACTTTTTAAAAAAAATCTGGCACTGTAGCACTGTACAGCAAAACTAATCTCTGTACAAGATCTATTGCTGAATTGCACAAAAGGCATAGTCTGTACAAGATGAATTATCTTCAAGTCACTGCTTGCTGGTTGCCCTGAGATCTTAAGATTAATAGACATAATAATAAATGAATAGGTTTCACTGAAATTAATTGTTATTTTTGCAGAAAAATATACTAGTTTTTGAAGTAGCTGTTTCATGCATCATTACTCTACCAGGAAAAATACAGTGGATATAAGTGAAGTCATGAAATACAATTAAAGGCACATCAGATATATGTACATAGTTTACAGTACCCCCCCCCCATATGAGTCACAGATGTCAGGATTCAAATATGTTTAACACAGAATTAATTTTTTCACAAAAATTACTATGAGTTCAGTGTATTTGCAATGGTACGCAAATGATGAAAATGGTTCAACTTTTTCCTTCCACGTGAGAGGCTATGAAAGGTTATAACTAGAACATTTTGACGACTGAATGAGCCTCAATTTAGAAACAGTAAGCATCACCTTCAAAATGAACTGAATATATTTCATTTTCTTACTATTTAGTAGAATAGTATTCTTACTATTATCTGTATATAAATTCTAAATGCTGAATGTCTTACTTGTCAATGTTGAACTAATGTTTACCATCATCTACTGAGGACCTGATCCAGGTACTGTGTTCTCTGAAATGAGCCTAACCTGGGATAGGAATCTTTCATGAAACACTTTCTGTGGAAATACCAGTTTAGCATCAAAATGTATCTTTTAGGTACCATCAAGCCTATTTTTCTCTCTTAGGTATTTAGAGGGCAAATCCTATGCATGCCTATTCAGAAGTCAGTCACACTGATTTCAGTGTGGTTTTTTACTAAGAAAGTGGGCACAGAATTAATAGATAACTGTTTTGCTCCTGTTGACTGTTTGTGTTGTGTATTTGGACTTCCATTGATTCCGCATATAGAAAGGCAACTTTAAAGTGTTTCAAATATATTTGTTCCCCCAACAGTTTTTAAACAAGAAGTGCATAATTAAACTGTAAACTGCCCAGAACACTACAGGATGATATATAAGCAGCACACTTTGTTATTGAGCAACACACATGTAGTCCATGGGCTGTTCTCAGTATAGGAGGAAGCAAGATCTTTCTAAGCAAGTCTAAGATCAGTTTCTCAGGTGTGAAATGACCATGTTTTAATATGTTTCTAATGCATGCAAATACAGTGGTGCCTCGCTTAACGGGCGCCCCGTTTAACGACAAAATTGCAAAGCGATTAACTTTTTGCAATCGCTTTTGCGATCGCTTTGCGATGTTCCCTATGGGGAAAAATCGCTTTGCGATGATCAGTACCCTGTTTCGCTTACCGATCATAGCAAAGCGATGATTTTTTTAACAGCTGATTGGCGGTTCCAAAATGGCCACTGGGTAAAAAAAATGGCCACCGCCGTTTTCTGGGACGGATTCCTTGCTTTCCGGGAAGCGAAAATGGCTGCCGTACGGAGGATTTTTGCTTTAAGGTGAGTCTGAAGTCCATAGGAACGCATTGAAGGGGTTTCGGAGCATTCATATGGGCTTTTTAATATCGCATAGTGACAAAATCGCTTTGCAGCGATTCTTGCTGCACCAATTATCGTCGCTATGCGAGGCACCACTGTATACCAGTTTGGATCTGGAGAACATTTTATGCTGTAGTGTTGACAGTAATATATAGTAATACAGTGTATTACGCACCCAAATATTAGTTGAACTAAATAATTCAAGCCATACACTAAGATCCATGGGAGAGTAGTTTCCCCTATTCACTTGCTAGCCTTTATACAGATAACCACTTAAGCAGATACATGACCTCCTCCTTGACCCGAGAAAACAGTGCCAAATTCACTTGCATGTTCACATACTTATATACTGCATGCCACCAATGGGATTTTGGGCAATAAAAGCATATGTCATAATTTTTTTCATGTTCACCTGCTCTATCCTACTATGGCAAAGGTGGGCAACTCTGGTTCTCTAGGAGTTTTTTTAGGCCTATAACTCCCTTACCACCGGCTATGCTGGCTAGGAGTGCTCAGGGTTGCAGGGTATCTAGAGAGCTACAGTTGGTCATTCCTGGTATACTAGGATGACATACAGTTACATATAGACAATAGGGGACCCTTTTGGAACAGGCTGTTGCAATCTGGAAAGAGTTGCCAGATTGTTGGGGGAAGAAGCGATATACCATTTAATGTGAGCCTCACATCTAAATGACATACCAACCTCAGGCAATTCTTGTGTGTAGTATCGATCAAGAAACAGCTTGAAGCCACATTTTCTATCAGCACATCACACAAAGGCAGATAATTAAAAAACAACAATCTAAGTGATTCAGCCTATCAGTGATGCTCTAGAAGAAGCAAAAAATAAAATAAGACCATTCCCCTTACTCCTCCAATGACTTGCCTATATCCTGAAGTAGTCTGCTTATTGATAGCTGCAAGGCTTGATTTTGGTCCATTCCCAGATATCGCACATGCTAGAAATGGACAAAACTAGAGCGCAGCTACCCATACCCAGAAAGGTGCAAGTAGGGGCATGCAAGGGACAGATCGGTTTGCTCTAGCAATCAGGTCATTAGATCACAGGAAAAAGGAGTGAAGCAACCCACCATCACAGCACACCAAACAGCCAGACAAAATGCTCATTTGATTGACTCCTCATTTTAGTCCACAATAGAGAGCTTGGAACAATGTAACAGGATTGCTGTGTGTATCTGCAAGAGGAGAATCCTTAATTTTACTAACAGCAAAAAAGAGTCAACAACTTGCAGGATTTCCTCTGCCTAGTACAGTACATAGGAAAAAGTGTAATGGGAGAAGAACAAATGGCATTAAAAGTATGTAATAACTCACTGATTAAAGAATGTATGACCTTTGAGTCCCAAACTTTTAAAAAAGATTCCAGCCTAGCAGAATGGCAGAACACAGACAGAGTTCTAACTCCTGTCCTCTGAAGATGCCGGCCAGAGACTGCCGAAACATTAGGAAGAAAAACCTCCAGAACATGACCAAACAGCCCGAAAAACCTACAACAACCATAAGAATGGATTCTCTTTTTGTTTTTGTTTTGCATTTATAGCAAAACTACCAGTAGGCAGCACAATAGTCATTAAGAGAAAAAAAAGAAAAGAAAAGGACTTCATGAGCTGCAAGAAAGATCTGGCAAACTTGAGACTTAATTTCCATTTTTGTGATCTTGGAATGTGCAGGCTGTTACCCTTTCGGGCTAATTAGTGGGCAGATTATCCCCAACACTGAAAAATTGAAAATCTCACAAAAATCTCTACCCTTCACTGATCAGAGCAAATTCTGGCATTCAGAATAATTTAGATGCAACATCAGAGATGTAGAAATGCATCTGCCCAATGCATATGTTTCAGTTTATACAGTTTTGGCTTTGAACAGCCACAAGGGCCACTTCATTCTAGGGCTGTGTCCACAATGAAAAGTGCCTCAAGGTGGGAAGAGCAAACATAGGACATATTTTAATGTGTGCCTTTATATATTCCCCTTCCACAATTAATAGCTGCTCTGGAGTAGGGTATCAACATACACAGTGGTGGGATAAGGGTTAAAATCCTCTCCCTTATACTTTGACCCTGATTTAAATCACTGTGCTGAAATCAGCTTTTGCCCAACAAAATAATATAATAAATTTGTAAGTCACCTTTTTATTTCTCCAACATCATTTCTAGTTTGCCCAGGTTTCATTCATATGCTATTTTTCCCTTTACTTTTATAAATCTCTTTTACCAATTAGTCATTTTAAATAAACTGTCTCTTCACCTCTCCGTGCATCCAGGGCACTGTATGGAGCCCAGTAAGTGGCCTGGCTAGTTCTGGCAGATGGGATTGGCCAGGATTGGGCCATGGTGGCACCTGTGGCCCAATCCTGCCAGAGGAAAAATGATAGTGAAGTGCCCATATCTAATTACTTAGACAGCATTCTCTGCCATGTTCCTTCCTTTTTCAAATGTATCTATGCTATACAGTTATATTAGTTTCATATCATAGTTACCGCCTATGGAATCCCAAAATATATACGTAATCTGCTAGATGGCTTTAGTTCGCTCCCCTTGAATACAGCACCAGCGCTCTCTAGACCTAATTTCTAACTCTCAGGATTCCATTAGATGGAACAATGCCAGGTAAAGTGGCATCAAATACTTATAAACTATAACTTTTAATCTGCTTGTGTTCACTGCTAACACCTGACAGCATGGGGTCAGTTCATTAAAGTTTCAGCTGCACATGAGAGGCAGCTGTGAACATGCAATTGTTCTCTCAATTTATTGCCAAGAAGTTCTAGTTTGCAATGCAAAATTTAGTCAAAGGAGAAATTGGCAACTATAGTAAGTATGCACTAGCTTTAAAAAGCCCTTTTACTAAACATCTGTCCAACAAAGTATGCCAAATCCACGCTACTTTAGGCACAATTCAATCTGCCAAGAACTTTCAACAGGACTAAGGCATAACTAATCAAGTGCACAAGTGATTGTTTTATTTTATTGAAAAACTGTAGCTTGCATCTCCTCCTAGGTAGTTTCCAACAGGACACAAATGAACTGGCCATATGAAAAAAGTAAAACTTCAAGCTACTGCCTGCCTCATCCTAGATAAAGAAAGATGTAAAAGAAATACAAAAAGAAACATAATTTCCCTTTGGTCTAACTCTAAACTACATTTTCTTATTTTTTCCCCTCCTTTTCCACTGGCTCATATAACAGAGTCTGGTCATAGGGAAATTCTAATCTAACAGTTAACTTATGTCTCTTATGTGTATTTTTCTTTCAAGACGTTTGACAAGAAAAATCACTTTTTCATCAGTCACTCCATTCCCAAATCTAGTGGGGAGTGAAAGTTGTATTTGAAGAACATAGAAAGCTGGACAAGAAATGTCTGGAATGTAAAGATGAACTGTTATCTCTAGAAGGAGCAAACATACAAAGAAAGGAATTTATTTGTGATACGAGTTTTCAATTAACACAAGAAGTCAAATGAAGGTGGATGACAACCAAAGATACCAACAGTAACCCCCCCCCCCAAAAAAAGCCTGTTTTCTGGGCAATAAACTGGACTTGCTACAAACTACACATATTTAGGCTTCTTCAGGAGCACATCATTTGCTCAGGCATGCAATAAGTGCACAACTTGGTGTGCAATCTGGGCACATCTAAGAGTGTAGTGGACAACTGACAAGATCACTCACATTGCTGACTGGTTTGGTTTACACTACACTAATTCCATTAAGATTATGGCAAGTATGTTTTTCTTTCAAGAAAATATGCATTGGGCTGCATAATGGTTAAAAAAAAGGGAGAGTCAAAAGGTAGATTAGTTGCTTTTCAAAACTTATTGTCTTTAGCTAAACTGATACCAAAACACAGTTCCAAGTTCTAAAATGGTTATATACGGTACTGAGAACAGCAACTTTATCGTCTACAGAGCAAACAGTGTCTGCAGTATATAAAAATAGTTTAATATGTGCTCCTTTCTCAATTTCATTTTTTGTTGATAAAATTCATCAGACAAGGCTGGAAAGTACTGTAACTGTGTTGTATCCCAAGCCCCTCAAGCACATCCTGGAATATTCTAGGCCCAGACTCAAGGTTGTTCAAACAGGAATGAACTTCTCTCATTTGCTCTGCTTCACATAATGTATTCTGAACTTTTAAAAATCAAGTATTTTCCAAGTGTAAGTGAAATCCTATTATGAAAAAGAGACTGCCCTAGCAATCTTACATCTCTACTCAGAGGTAAGTCCCACTGAGTTCAGCAAGACTTACTCTTAATTAAGTGTGTATAAGCCTGCAAGGCCAAAAGCAATCAACAGGTTTACACCAAAAGTTCTCTCTCTGTCAAGGCCACCAAGCAAGCCTGAACGTAAAAACTGTAAAGTCAAAGCAATCTTATCTCGGCAAAGCAGGGCTAGTTTCTCAATACTTTCATCTTCGTATTACATCCCACAGTTGTGCTGAAATACTTAACATCTGAGACTGACCAACAGCTGTTGTGCTTCATAAACACAACTTCACTCGCTGTCTAACCTATGGAAGGATAAATCTTTCAGCATGTGCACCACACAGAAGAGAAGCCTTGAGAATAAGGAAACAACGAATTTTATAAAAATCACTTTGGAAACATTTTTCATCAGCCCCTGGTTCTCCAGGAAAATATGAAGAAGTTGAACAAGAGGGGGGAAAGGGCGGCTCACTGTATTATGTTAGACTATCCAGCATAAATTTTGGCATTCATATTACATAGTCTCCATTTAATACATGCCATCTGGCTTTCAAAATCATTATTTTGTAGATCACTAGCCGTCTCTAGGTTTATTCTGAAATAAATGTCACAAACTAGGTTTCAAGTAAATATGGATAGCATAATAATTAAATAATCCCCTGGGGAAAGTAGCCTATCAAGACTTTTCATCTGAACAGTTTAAAGAACTCTGAAATCTTTAGTCTGAAATATCTAGAGGTGAGCATATATAAATTGGTTAGGTATACAGTACAGTAATATTTTATCATTCATAATCTATTTTCCACCATAGGGACTACATAATTTGTACAGAAAGGAAAAAAGGAGAGAGAGAGAAAATAAAGTTTTAGGATTCTACTGGACAGGAAGGAAAGAAAGAAAAAAACCTTTAAGATTATATTCTTTAAGAAATACTGTACAAAAATTGTCTGACCATCTATCAAATTGGTATTTTTAATTCCAAGTCCAGTATCCTATTAAACATTTACACACATGAAACTCCAACTGTGAAAATTGCTGTAGTGATAAGATGAGCTGCTGATTGCAGCCAGTTGTGTGACTGACTGTGGCCTAGAAGTGCAACATAGCATGCAACCACACACAACCAACACAATGCACAAATATTGTTCAATATTTGAACAATCCACTTGTCTTAGTATCAAAGCTCTTAATATTCAATGCTAACACATAGCTTAGTAATAAGGATCACCCTACCTTGGTGTGTAGAACAAATGACCATTAATTCATGGCTCACATCTCCTGATCTTCTGACAGGAATTAGCAGTTCACCAACATCTTCTTCTATTCTGTATTCTGACCCAGGAATATACACAGTTGATTCTGGAGGAAAATGTAAGGATAATTTTATATATAACTAAATATTAAGATAAATATTAAGTAACTTACACCATCTGTAAGACTATCATTTCGAATTCATTTAGAAACATAATTATGAACCCCCTCTAAGGAAAAAAAGAATAAACTAAGACAGGGGGATAGTACCAGAAATGCAGCACCTACCATCACCTGGATCCACAATTTCCACTGTTGCCCTATCTGGAAATTCCAGGGCAGCCATAACTGGATCTGACAAAATAATCTGGAAAATCTCAGATTCCTCATATTCGTTATCTACAATTATCCTTACTCGCCAGGTAGCCACGGTCTGTCCTGGGTTGAACTGAACCTGTTTCTGGGCTTTCCCTTTGAAATCTTTATCCTTTTCTGCTGTTCCATCTTTTGTTCCAATACCTGAAAAAATATTTGAAACCAAGCAAACAAACAAGTGAATAAGAAAAAAAAGAGGTTACTTACTGTAACTTTGGTTCTTCGAGTGGTCATCTGTCAATTCACACTACTGGGTTTAGTCTGCGCTTGCGCAGAGATTTCCGGAATCTTCTAGAGCTTAAACATTGTTCAATAGGACCACCCCTGCAGTACACATGGTCCACCCATCCTGGAAAGTGCCTCAGTTCCCACAAAGTCCGCCGCTGTGTAAAAATTGTGTGATGTAATGGACAGAGGGGAGGATGGGCGGGAAGTGTGAATTCACAGATGACCACCAGAGTTATGGTAAGTAACCTCTCTTTCTTCTCGTGGTCTCTGTGAATGCACACTAATGGGTGATTAACAAGCTTACCTGCTCGGAGGAGGTATGTCACGGAAGAACAGCTGATAACCGCTCATCCAAATGCTGAGTCTGTCTTTGCCTGGAGGTCTAAACGATAATGGGTGGCAAAGGTGGACGGAGTGGACCATGTGGCAGATGTCAGGGACAGAAACACCTCTAAGGAATGCCGTAGAGGCAGCCATTGCTCTTATGGAATGAGCCCTAATTCCAACAGGAAGAGGCTTTTTGGCTAACTGATATGCAAGGTGTATGGTTGCCACAATCCATTTAGATATGGTCTGGGAAGAGACAAGGGATCCCCTATGTGGTAAATGCGGGGAAATAAATAGTCATTGAGACTTGCGGAAGGAAAAGCAGTTCTGGAAACATAGAAAGCCAGTACTCTACAAATATCTAAGAGGTAGAAAGAGCGTTCTAGGTCAGTAGTTGGTAATGGAAAAAAAGAAGGTAAGACGATAGGCTGTTTAAGATGGAATTTGGAGACAACTTTAGATAAGATATTTGGGTAAAGGGTGACTTTATCGGCGTGAAATTGAAGAAATGGAGGATCTACTCGGAGAGCAGCAATTTCTGAGGCTCTACGAGTGGAGGTAATGGCCACCAGGAAGACAGTTTTGAGAGCCAAGGGACAGTCAGAAGTCATGGCAAGGGGTTGAAATGGAGGCAGCATAAGCCGGTTAAGGATAGTGTGCAAGGACTATTGCGGAGGAGGAAGTGTCCTCGTAGGTTGGAGTTTGGATACTCCCTTAAGAAACTGTTTCACAGTAGGATGCTGAAAAAGCATAGCGGAGTCCGAACCGTGTGGTTGATGGGCTATCATAGTTGATAGATAGACCTCGAGTATAGATAGAGATGTCTATTGAATAAGTAAGTAAGAAATTGAAGTACAGTGTGAAGGGTTGTAGGTGTAGTAGGGAGACAATGTTGAGACGCAAACTTGATGAAGGCAGACCATTTGCAGGCATATAATTGGGTGGTAGCAGGCTTTCTCACACTTCCCAAAATAGCAGCTACAGTGGGTGAATCCTCTATGCTGTAAGGTGGAGCGTGTGAAGATCGGGGTGAAAGGCAAAGCCTTGATTTTGAGTGAGATGTGGAATGTTGGGAAGACAGATGAAGCCTATGGAGATTGAGCGGAGCCTGGTGAACCATGGCTGTCTCGGCCACCATGGGGCGATGAGGATTGTGTTGGATTGTTCTAGATGCAATTTGACGACTGAGGAGGAGGGGAATGGGAGGGAAGAGATAGATCAGGTCTGGTGTCCATGGTATCATGAGGGCATCGCCAAGGGAGCTGGGGCCAATTCCTGCTTGGGAGCAGTAGTGGGGACATCTTGCATTTTCTGCGGTTGCAAATATGTCTATGTGTGGATGTCCCCATAGGTTGGAAAGATAACAGAATATGATATTGTTGAGGGACCACTTGTGCATTTGAGTGGTGCGCCTGCTCAGGGAATCTCCAAGTTGACTGTGATGAGTAGAAATGTGAATTGCTATTGGGAATATATGGCATTCGATACATCATTTCCAGATCTGTACTGTGAGATAGAGAAGTGGGAGAGAATGAGTGCCACCTTGTTTGTTCAGGTAGAAAAGAACTGTGATACTGTCCATTGTTATTTGGACGACAGTGCTGGTTACTAGTGGTTCAGAAGTGCGGAGTGCTTTGAAAATGGCCAAGAGTTCGAGGTTGTTGATGTGAAGGCATCTCTCTGAGGGGACCAAAGGGCATGAATGTGGAGGTTGTTGCAATGAGTCCCCCCCCCCCAGCTGGTTGGGCTTGCATCCGTGGTTATCTGTATGGTGAGTCGAAGGAGAGCAAACGGTCTGCCTATGAATAGATTGTTTGGTGTGTTCCGCCAGTGGAGCTGTGCCACAAGTTTGGGTGTAACTCTTAACAACACTGCGGGCGAATTGGACATTGGATTGAGGAGGGAGAGGTACCACCCCTGCAGAGAATGCATTTTTAGGCGCGCATGTTGAATCACTGATGTTGTGGAAGCTATGAGGCTGAGTAGGCGCCTCATAGTACATGGTGCGCCGTGACCAGTACATGTGGTTGAAATTGTTGGAGTGCATTGTAGATTTTCGTCGCTCGTTCTTGGGGAAGAAAGGCTTGTGCTGCTTGGGAATCTAAAACAGCTCTGATATAAGTCACTCATTGTGAGGGAGTGAGCGTGGACTTGGTTATGTTGACCTTGAGGCCGAGATTGTCTAGGAGACACAGAGTGAAATTTATGTCTTGTACTGCTTGATACCGGGAGGGGGCCACGAGCAGCCAGTCGTCGATGTAAGGGAATATGGTAATTCCTTGGGTGCATAGGTAGGCTGCCACTGGAATCATGCATTTTGTGAATACGCGAGGAGCAGTAGAGAACCCAAATGTTAGGGCCTTGAATTTGTAGATGGTGTTGCATAGAGAAAATCTGAGAAACTTTCTATGATTGTAATGGATGTTGATGTGGAAGCATGCATCGGTTAAGTCTATCACTGCAAACCAGTCACCCTCTTGGAGGAGGGGTAAGATGCATTCCAGAGTTACCATGTGGAAATGTGTGTGGAAGATATAGTAATTTAGGTCCCCTTAGGTCGAGGATGGGGCAAAGGCCTCCATCTCTTTTGGGTACCATGAAGTACCCGGAGAAAAACCCTGGGCTGTCCTCTGATAGGATGATAGGTGATATAGCGTCCCTTGAGAGGAGGGATTGAACCTCAAGGTTGAGAGTGATACTGGTGTGGTGAAATCCGATAATATGTGGGTGACTCGTACAGAGTAACCCTCTTAAGATGATGGTACCATGTAAGGGAATCGTGGGATGCTAGCAAACCCGTGGACTCCTGAGGACGCGAGGTTTTGACATCTGAAAGACCAGTCTCCGGTGTATGATGTGTCTTCCTGGTCCGCTTACGCGGAGGATGCGGATCAGGCAAGTTCGATTCTGAATCCAACTGACACACGGAGACGGAGCAACCCAAAGGGCTCGAATGGTCATATCGAGGAAGTACAGTAACCTCAGCCAAGGTATTAGCCCACGAAGGGGACTGTCCCTGTAAAGGAGATGACGGTTGTCCAGAAGGTGGGGGAAGATAGTCATCACTCGCAATGGAGACCGAGTCAGCACAAATCCTTTTGATGTTTAGAGGATTGTAAAGTAGATGGCAACTTCTTAGGCTTAGGTTTCGACTGCTGGTCTGGTACCGAAGGAGACTTTGGTAATGGTGTCAACTTAGGGGTCGAGCCACCTGCCCTAGGTTTGGAAAGCAGTTTTGCTTTAGATTTAGACTTAACCAAGGAGGCCACTGAAGCATCTGGAGACGGTAGTTGAGCTGGAGGCGGCTGTGCGGGCTCCATAGCCGAAGTTAGGCAAAGAGATCTTTCCCACAAATAAGATCATAGACACTGCTGTCTCAATTTAAGAGCTTGTTTAGTTAATTTATTGCAAGTGGAGCAAGAGGCTGGCTGATGGGATTCACCAAGGCAAAAGAGACAAGCGTTGTGGCCATCAGTAAAGGGGATTTTACTAGGGCACAAAGTGCACCATTTAAATAGTATAGAGGAGGCCATAAACTAGCAAAAAATAAAAAAACAAGAAAACAAGAAAAAGGATTAAAAAGGGGGACTAGAGAGGGGGAAGCGACAAGGGAGGTAGAACAGGAAAATCTTACAGAAGTCCCTTTTGAACATGCTAGAAACCTCAGCGGTGGCAAAAAGCAACTGAGGCACTTGTCAGGATGGGTGGACCACGTGTACTGCGGGGGCAGTCGTAGCGAACAATGTTTAAGCTCTAGAAGATTCCTGAAACCTCTGCGCAAGCACAGACTAAACCCATTAGTGTGCATTCACAGAAACCAGATTTTCATTCATCATTACTTGATAATCTTCAGTACAAATGCTGATTTAAAAGCTGACATGCCTAATTGGAAGAAAACAAATACTGTCTACAAAATCCATTTCTAATGAAGTTAACCATATGTCAAATAGCAACCATTATTTAGAATATAAAATGGGAGATGGCCTCCTCTCATACATAATTGAAGACTTGGGAGAGTTGCAGTTTTCCTTTTCTCTGCATGAACTTGTGTGGAAGATTTGTTTGCCAAGCTGCCTGGAAGATAATTTAAATATATATTTAACCTTCACCTTCCCTGCTTCCAGAAGGAGTAACTGTCAATAAGCTATACAGTATAGGAGTATCAGTTCCCGGGTCAATAAATTGGGGGCTGAGTATGTCAGAATGCTATATCCCAAAGTTGAGACATGCTTGAGAAATATTTTTTCTATCAAGCCACACTTCCCCTCAAAACCTTGGGCAAACACTTATATCTCTACAGATGTTTTTGCTCTCCAGCTTTCATCACCCCTAGTCAGAGAGGGCTTTGGTTGCATACTCTTGCACTAGGCTAATGAATATCATCACTGGTGCCTTTCCCACCCCAACCTGCATCTGTAATACAATAGCATTTTGAAAGTATTCTTGAAGAATTTTGAAACTTGAAGGGGGAGCATCTTTTTCTGAGGTGAAATTTTTCAGTGGGACAATAATTGTGTGTAGGAAGCAACTGTCATATAACCAAAGTCCACAAGACAGATTGTGAAATGCCTTCATAGCTTTTGGGAAAAGAAAACAACTTCGGGTTAAACTAGGCATTAAGAGAAATGTGAGAGTAACACATTTACCTTCCAGTTAGGGAACTTCCTTAGAGACTTGTGTTCTAGTAATCAAACTTGCAAATAAATTTATGTTTACCTCCCAGTAACCAATAGCAAAATAAAACATGGTTAAATGCAAGATGTGGAGGTGAAAGAAAGCACATGCTATGACCAACAGTTCTCTTCTGCCACTTGAGGGAGCATCACTTCTAAATACAGGCTAAGCATATTGTAATGTTTGACTCTAGTTTGTGAGAATATAAAATTACAGTTAAAACTCAACTGTTTTAATTAGAACACATGGGTTTCTTGGGAGGCAGAGACTTCAATAGATGTATACTATTGTCAGTATCCTCCTGTTCAAAATTTAGATGCTCAGAATTCTAACTGCAGAAATCAGTGCAATGATCTGATGAGGTCTTTCTCATGCTCTTGGCTGCATATAACTTTTACCTTACTAGAACACTGCACTAGCTTCATGCATTCTGGAGCTCCATGCGTGCATGAATACTGAACTGGATATCAACCCGGATTGTCAAACTTTCAACAGTATTTGAAAACTGAAGACAGAGTGCAAGTGTATCTTAATATTACTATTTTGATCATACAAAGGGAATCTAAATTTTAATGGTTCTCAGTTCTGTTCTTGCAATCTCTGTAAAGCTTCAGTTCAGCAATAGGTCTCAAGAACTAGCTGAACTGATTTACTGAAAACGCACTTATTATCTTGTGTGGCACCTTAAAATCCATGCAAGTAACAAAAGGCATAATTAATTCTTCAAAAACAAAGTGAAAACTATTTACAACATCAGTCATTGTTTCAATTCCGACTTCCAGATAGAAATGTATGAATTTGATGATGGTTGTAATTTTAAACAAAACAGAAAATTCTAGCAAATGTATGCATATCGTAACATCCATGAGGATGGATTTTTAGTTTGTCAATTTTTTACTGCAAATTAACATAAAACAAATGGCCTATTATGTTTAATTTATGGTTTTATCTCTCTAAGCAAGTACAATAAGTCATGTTGAATCTGTCCCCCAGGGCTCAGAGAACCTAATATCCTGCAAGAAGCTTCTAAAAGATGTGAAGTGTGAAATCTTTTCCACATTAAGACCCCCAATTCCTCATGCTTCAGCCTTATTTAGAAACACCTGATGTAATGCACAGAAAAATCTGATTCAGCATTATGCTTGCTCTACATAGATTGCTGTGAAATACTAGTTAAATGTTGTCTTTGTTAAAAAGTCAAAATGACTGAAAAGGAAGAAGAGATATCTGGACAGGGAATCTTTTTGTTTCTTTGTTTTCCTTCACCACCGCCCTTTGCGCCTAATGAGGCATTGTTATCTACAGTGAAGAGGGTGGACGGGCATCCCCTTTTTACTGAAGGAAATGCAATGCCAAAGGAAAACAAGTTTGATGTTTTATTTCACTTTGGCAAAATGGGATCCCTAAACTGGGTGGTGAAATGAACCATGAACCAGCCTGCTTTCTCAGGTTTTTTTGGTTTGTGGTTCATTTTGTACCTATCTCTAATGTCAGCATTTTAAAAATTAGTGGGTCAATGTTGCTATACAATTGTTACCCCCTGAAAACAACATAATGGCTGGAATCCAATTTGGTGCTGCATAATGTAAAGTTATGCCAGTATAACTTTGCTGGGCATTACACCCAGGTAAAGCAATTTGCACAATTCGACTGCACAATTTACTTTACCTGGGTGTAATGCTGAGCAAAATTGCTGTGGCAACTGACCACACAATATACTAGTGGAAGAGGTTTGTTGATAGCATTTTCACCTTGGCACTACTGTAGCTACCACAAGAATAGCATCCCTTGCAGCTATGCGACAGGACTGTGACCATTGCCATGTAATGTGTGACACACTAGTTCTAAGCCCTAAGAATGGCATTCCCCCAGGGTTACCAGGAGGCAGATTTTTCTCCTCCCAGAAGAAAGAAGATCCCAGATGCTCCACTGACATTATTATTATTATTATTATTATTATTATTATTATTATTATTATTATTATTATTATTATTATTTTATTATTATTATTGACTGGGTTTTGGACACATCTTGCAATAATACGGGGTAATTTGGTTACTTGTAGCAGCTGGCAACATGGTACTGGCCAGCATCCCAAGACCCCTGCTAGTGATGGCATGCTTATATAACTATATCTTGGTGACCAGTTTGAGATACAAGAGGAAGGCATGGCTTTTGGACCAATGACAGCAATGTCAGGGGAAAATCAGCATGACTCCCTTGATTTGCCTTTTAAGGTAACAGGCAAGGATAAGTTCATGCTGCCAAAATGGGCATGCATGATTTGCAGCCAAATGGGGATTATCCCCCAGGGAGCCTTCATAAAATAGCAAGTCTCACAGTAGCACCCTTTCACCTTTTCCTTATTGCAATTAATTTTAATATCACTTGTGACTTTTCTCCCATATTGCTATCTGGTGTCTCTAGTAAGTGAGCAATGTTTACTTCATTTTAAAAAATCGTCTCTGTCTTTTGCTGTGATTTAGAGGTATGTATGTCCTAAGGATGGAGTTGTCACTCACAAAGAAGATAGACCCTCCTTCCACAAAAACAGAAGGTAGGCCACCATTATGAAATTGCCATAAACCAGACTAGTACTACATGCCACAATCATAAAGTAAACACTAGGAATATGTGTAGGCTTAGTTTTATAACAAAACCTTTTGATATAGTGATTTCTATTCCCTTGATGTAGGGCTATCAGAGTACAAAACAGGTCAGAAAATAGTCAATACATTTCCTCCTCAACTGCCTCACTGCATGGCTTTTGGAGGGCTCCTATTTAATTTCAGTTCATTTGACTTTACACATATTCATACAATATAAGCCTAAACACCACATTTCTTCATCTCAAGCTTTAATGATAAAAGTATTTTCAAATCTCTACTTGTCCCATGCTTTATCAGGCGGTAGACTGGAATGTTCCACTTCACATTTATCTCAGTACTTGTGAAAAGCATCTGATAAAGAAACTTCAGCATTTTTATTGACTTTGTGTCCCCCCCCCCCCATTTCCTAAAGGAATGTATTGAGGCACAGTTAAACAAAGGCGGTCAAAGCATTTTGATGGGAAAGTTCTCTGACTTCTATGAAACATTAAGCATTAGCTGACTACAAATGGGTCACTAATCATATTGTTATTCACTATCCATTATAACTTTTTAATGCTAATATTCATTGTCTCACTTTTTACAGAGGCCATGCGACTCAAAATGGAACTGAACCACTTAAAATTTATTATATTGAAGTGTTCCTAAGTAACAATACTCCAGAGTAAGAAAGATTTGACATACTTCTTGAAAAGTAAGTCAGAATCTAAAGAATATAGAAATAATTTCCCAAATAACAAAACTTGGCTCCCAGCTCTCAAAAATACAGCGTGCAAAAGGTCAACAAACTCCACCCAGCCACAAGGACAGGGGATCACTACACACAAAAGACCAGCTAATGACACCCATCACCAACAGGGACAGATAATCTCTTCTCCTTAGCACAACAAGACACCCACAACAAGACACACTAATCACCCATCTACAGAAAAAGACAAAAGCCTATCTCACAGCCGTAAATACTGCAATCCCTAGCCAACTACACCAAAGCACAGAGTGCTGTCCTCTGAAGATGCCAGCCACAGAGACTGGCGAAACGTTAGGAAGAACAACCTTCAGAACACGGCCAAAGAGCCTGAAAAACCCACAACAACCAATTTCCCAAATACAGTGGTGCCCCGCACAGCGAGGTTAATCCGTTCCGGATTAACCTTCGCTGTAGGAAACATCGCACTACGGAACAGAAAAAGGCATTGGAACACATTAAACAGCGTTTAATGCGTTCCAATGCCATAAAATACTTACCGTAGTGCGATGTTTCCCAGGGGCCGGCAGCCATTTTCGCGCCCTCCCCTCGCACAACGAGGGCGCCAAAATGGCTGCCATCAGCTGTCCGGCGGGTCCAAAATGGCCGCCGGAACAGCCGAAAGGGCCCGGGGTGCAGCGTTTTCGCGCCCTTGGTAAGCAAGGGGAGCGCGCGAAAACGCTGCCGGAAGCCCCGAAATGGTTGCGCGCAGCCATTTTGGGGCTTCCGCAGCATTTTCGCGCGCTCCAGCGAAGGTCGGTAAGCGAGCAGCTTACCGACCTTCGTTCTGCGATTTCCCGCCTATATGGGCACCGTTTCGCGATCGCATTTGCGATCGCTAAAACGGCCTCGTAGAGCGAATTCATCGCTCTACGAGGCACCCGTTGTGCGAGGCACCACTGTAGTTATGTATAATCCATACCAATATTCTCTGGTATCAACAGCATTCCTAAATGTGTGCACATCTGGGTACAGAGCCTTAGCAAAACCAAACCACTGTAATAAACTGGAAAAGTCCATGGAGGTGACCAATACAGGCTAACCAACTGAAAAGAAGGATTGTCTAAATTCATTACTGCTTGTGTTTTACAGAAGGAAGGCATTTACTAAATATAACATACTTATCACCATAGTTGGTGTGATATTACACACTTGAAAGCTTTATTTAAGATATACAACTCTTCATGCTGTAAGGTTTCTGTAACTGAGTTACATAGTTGATCTCTGTATACTCAGACAGATCAAAGCCATACTCACTTACGAATGATGTCTCTCCCAGATATCCTCTGCGCTTGAGAGTTATTTCCAGGACTCTGGAATCCTCATCTATAATATAATACTCTTTCTCCAAAGAAATCCAAGCCCAGTTCAAACGGAAAGGCTGGCTCTTCAACTTGTTTCCTCCTAAAATACATTAGAAGAACATTAATGTTACCATAAAAACATGCAATCTGGAAGAAATCCAAAAAGTCTACACCTTTGGAAACTAAAAAAATTCACATGCATTATATGAATAACTACTACTTTAGCTTTTAAAATTAGTATTTTAAATTAAATTATTTTAGTATTTAGCTTCTAGTTTTTCTTCATACAAATACCACTAACAGAAACAAATAGAATTATAAATTGGAGCGGTAGTTCTCTTCCTTTTGAATCTCTCTCTTCACCTACCACTCGATCAAAGAACGTGAGTCCCACTATCTTAACAATGAGAAAATCACTTTTCCCCCAAAAAAGATGTCTATGCTCACATGCATTGTGTTATATTTATCGTTTAAAACAGCCACTCTCCACAGGGGCCATATGGCCCCTGGAAAGGCCATGACACATTTGAAAAGGGCCACAGACAATTCTTCACACATCACCTTATAAAGTTCATTATGCAAATTATACAATCTTCATTTACTCTATATTCAGTTTATGGTCAGGGTCAATCAGAATGATTGATTTAATGTAGGTTGGAAGGCAGAGCCAGTGGTGGATTGTGGGAAACACTATGTCCAATGTCATATCAAGCATGCCAAATGGTTACAAATGGCAGGCTGGTTGGTAGGAGATAGTATATCATACTTGCAAGAATACTTAGAATTGTTATGAAAAGTTTCCATCCCACCTAGAGTATTCCTGCGTCTCATCACCATTTGTAAGTGTAGCACTGGTAGAGAACAAATGCAATGAAGGCAGTAATAGACGATAATGATCCTTGTGAGGATGGATTCATAAAAGGGATGGCCTTTGCCTCCACCTGCTTCCTGAACTTAAGTTTTTTAAACAGATTTAAAACTGCAGTCAGATCAACAATATGTACATGTCATTAATAGATTCCCCCCTACTCCAAATGATTTCTGCACATGGCATTGTCTTGATTGTTCCTTTTTTGAAAAATGTGATTTAAATAAAATAAAAAATTACAGGAAAATCATGGGATTGTATATATCCAATATATATAATCATACTTGAAGGAATTATGTTTGTATCTAAATATCTTTCGATGTAACAATAAATGTCTATGATGTTATAAGCATTTGTACTAATTATATGCATACGTATTTGTAAAGAAAAACATTTGCATATAGTTGCTCTAACTAAATATAAGCACAATAGATATCCTGAATGTAAAATCTTCATTGGCTTAGATTTACTGATCTAGTTAGTCACATGCCATCAAGCTGATTTCATCTTATGATTTTCTAGGGTACTCCAAAGTAGTTTACCAGTCCCTTCTTCTAGGGCCACTTTGGGATTGATAAGCTTGCCCAAGGCTGTACACACCAGATCTTCACCTGGGAGCCACAGTGGGGAATCAAACTCCTGACCTCTGTAGCCAACTTTCCAACCCACTGAGCTATCCAATAAGTGTACTGGAGAACTAGGAAAGACTTAAAATGCTTTTATAAAAAATAATGAAATCTTGCTTGTCATACTGGTATGTTCCCTGTACATATTTTCCAGCACTTACCAGAGACAGGAAGCTTCAAGCATAAAAAATATTCAGTTCTTCATTTTATGAAGAGGTTTATGAATGTAGGATATTGTACCTCTGTATTTATGATTCAAAACACCAGGAAATGGTCTGATATTACTGCAAAATATTATGCCTGTGTTACCAGCAGGAAAAAGGATGCTAAGCTTTACATAAGAAAGGGCAACCTGAGTTGACAACAATGGCAGTACTCAAGTTGATCTGTAGCAGTGGTTCACAACCTTGTCCCAACCTTCCTCAGATGTTCTTGGACTACAATTCCCAGAAATCCTGGTCAGCACAGCTAGTGGTGAAACCTTCTGGGAGTTTTAGTCCAAGAACAATTGAGGACGCAAGGTTGGGAACCACTGGTCTACAGCAGGGGTCTTCAAAGTTTTTGCATGGAGGGCCACATAATATATATGCAATATTTTCAAGGGCCAAAGGAACACACGTGCATGTACGCACATGTGCATGCACTCCTGCCTGCACACACTCTTGCCCACCCTGACACCCTCACGCCCTCCTGAACACCCACCCGCCCTTGTACCCACACGTACGCACACATGCACAGACAGACTGGATAAAAAGACCAGGCTGGCTGGATGTGACCTTCAGGCTGTACTTTGGAGACCCTTAGTCTACAGGATACCCTCTAGTGTTCAGTATCATTCACAAAGTGACACCAAGCAAAGGAAAATCCCAGAAGCTGATTCCTTTTTTCCATCACTTAATTACTTCTCACCCAAACATAAAGCAATTATCATGGCTGGTTTCTAACAAGTTTCAAATTATTATTATTTGTTTGGGCTTCCTCCCTTTTTAGAACTGCCTATAGAATCTTGAATGGCTCTGCCAGCAGAATAATATCATTGGACTGCCATGTAATGGTAATCATTCTAAATCTTCCCTTCTAATTCCTGTTCAAAAGGGGGAAATGTCACAGAACAAGCACTGCATGTAACCACAAATGAGATTATCAAAATTTGCATTTTTAACAAAAGGATGAAAACACCCTGCATTTTTCAAATAAGCACACATGCCTTTATCTCAAAGAACATTACGATAAAAAAAAATACTCAAATCAGAAGGGATGACAACCATATGCCTTTTTTTGAAAAAGCTGTATTATGTAATACTAGGCTATTATGTTAATAAGATCTCTGATTTTTCTCCTGTGGAGCCACAAGGGCTCTGACAGCTTAATGCACCCCTCCTAGAGATGACAGATGTTGGAAGCTGCTCATGACAAGTGGTCTGTGAATTTTCCTTCTTTCAAAAGAGAGATAGAGATAGATAGAGAAAGAGAGAGAGAGAGAGAGAGAGAACTTTTTGATAAAGAGAGGGGGGATCTTAAGCTTCAGTGCAAGCAAAGAGAAATGCGCTTATTTCAGATTTTTAAAAAATTCTTTTTCCCCCCCAAACATATTTCCTACCTCCATCCTGAACACTGAATGTCAGATCAAGGTAAGGAAAAGAGATCTGATAGCACAGAAAATGATCTCTTTCATCTTTCCTGATGTATGGTTAAAAGAAACCCCAGATAGTTCTGACATGCATTGTATTGTGTGCATGTACATCTGTGTAAGAGCGAGATGGACTTTCAATTTTCTCATTCTCCTTTCTCACTATAATCCTGCTGCGGTATTATATTAATTTTCCCTGTATATAGGTGACCTTCATAAATAGCTTTTAGACTTTATGGTATTTTAATAATTTATTCAGTTAATAAATTGGATCCAGAGCTAGGACTCAATGTTTTCTTTGGCAAGATGAAATAATGAAATAAACCTGGAATGTTTCCTCACAGAGCACTGGATCCTGACTGAAATGACAACACATAATCAAAAAGAGGATATATCAGATATTTGGAGCGACGTCTTGTATGTAATTATATTAAATTTAACATGCTGCTTTGAGGTGTAATGAGAGGACCAATAAAGTTACAGTAATTTAAAAATGAAGGCAACCTATTTCTGGCATATATTTGATACAGAAAAACTCTATTCTGGAAGATTCCTAGGTACTGGAAATGGAATCAAGTTATACCAGGAATTCCAAGCTAATAATGTACCAACTTTGTCAAAGACAAAATAGTTGGCTTCATTCAGTAAATGGAATAGCTGGTTTCATTTAATATAATTCTATCACGATTAAGTCACTCCTCTTGAGACAATCCAGATTCAAAACTACAATCTACCAGTGACACAAGTACTGTACTGTATTTTAACCATTTCAGATATCTGATACCCTCCTTTGACTAAGATTACAACAGATGTAGAATTATATATAGCTGTATACACAATAAAAATTTAGAGCAGACATTAGGGGGTCTCTTAATCCATCACATTATTTAAAACTGACTTACATTCGCAGGCTCTGGGCCATGTTAATATCTTAACATGTTGACAGAACACATTCCCTCGTTGATACATTGGCTATACAGTGAAACATGAAGAGTTATTGTTTATTTTGATAATAGCAAATGGAGTTTCTATAAATGATTGTCACATATTAAAGAAGAAAGTTCAAGTTATCATGCCTCCAGATTTTAAACATATGCAATGAGGTAATGTTTCTGCAACAGGCTTGGAAGTTATGGTAACATAACAGTGAGTAAAATTAGAGATGGCAAAACACAGATTTCCCGTTCTGTTGCTGAGCCAATATCCCATCCCATTTTCAAATATCTTAAGTATTATACATCTACACCTGGCATATATGCCGCAAGCTATGAATTGTTCATTAGAAATAGTTCTACTTTAAAAAGATACATGTTTCCCCCCCCCCCCGAGTCTCAGACGGAAGCATGATTCTCCTTTAAAATGAGGCCACCTGCATCTTGCTTTATCCAAAAAGAAAAGAAAGAGTGTTTTGTTTTCATCTGGAAATCAGAATTCAACAAGGCCACTTACAACCCAGCCCAACCCAGCCTTGCCCAACCCAGCCTTCGCTAATGGATGGATAGCAGTGCAGTCTCATGGTACACTGCCAATTACTTAACTGGACAAATAATCAGTACAGTATTACAGCTGACCACACCTTTTATGACAGAGGTGAGTAGAAGCTAGATCTAAATCTACAGACACGTCTCTCAATGATTTCAGTGATTTCAGATCTGTATGACTTTTGAGTTGGAATATCTTCTTAGGCTTAACATTCTCAAACTGCATGCCTTTTGCACCAGGTTCAAGCTGGTGGATCTCAGGATTCTACCAGAAAAAGAGAGCTGATCCCACAAGCCTGTGGCTTGCCTACTCCATCTTCACTACCATCTTCATTCACTAGAAGAATACAGTGATGGATATGTGGTATGGTGAGCAATCGGTAGCTTTCCAGATTGTCAGACTGCAATTGCTATTACTTTACCATTGGCCAAGTTGGCTGGAAGCTACAGTCTGCGAGGATCTAGAAGGCTGTAATATGTCCTCACTGACTTGTA